AGTGTGCGAGTTTCACTAAAAACTGAACAGTTCTGCAGCAGGAGAACAAACAGCTACAACAGCTGGTTGTGTTGTAGATGTTTACTAAACTTACATTTTTTAAACAAATTTAGACATAAAGAAACGTCTTTCTAAAAGTGCCCAGAGGACAACGTCCAGGGATGTCTGGTGTTCGGAGAGCACCTCTAATTGCTTCACATTTTGTTTTCTGTTGGCAAACACAACTGCAAATGGTTTTCTACCTAGAGTTCATGTTGTTAATGTTGTGATTTACCAGACACTTTATTAGGTACACTGGTTTGGCCTTTCATGATTAGAATTTGCTGTTCAACCACATCCCAAATGTTCTCAATGGGATAGAGATCTGGTGACTGTGGAGGCCATTTGAGTACAGAGAACTCATTGTCATGTTCAAGAAACTAGATTGAGATGATCTAAGCTTTGTGACATGGCGTGTTATCAGAAGATGGTACACTGTGGTCATAAAGGGATGGACATGGTCAGTAACAATGCTGTGGTGTTTAAATTATGCTCAGTTGGTACTAAGGGGCCCAAAGTGTACCAAGAAAATATCCCCCACATCATGACACCACCAGCAGCCTGAACGGTTAGTACAAGACAGAATGGATCCATGCTTTCATGTTGTTACACCAAATTTTGACTCAACCATCTGAACGTTGTAGCAGAAATTGAGAATCATCAGACCAGGCAACATTTTTCAAATCTTCTATTGTCCAGCTTTGGTGAGCTTATGTTCAGTAAGTCATTTTGACCATGTCTACATGCCCTGAGTTGCTTCCACTTGATTGGCTAATTAGAAATTTGAATGCTTAATGAGCTGTTTATCAGACAAGCATAATGAAGTGGCCATTGAGTGTAAGTTAAGCTGTAAAAATAGGTGTTTTTGAGGGACAGACAAGGTTTAGCGCTGTACTTTTAAGTGGCTCAGATAGAAATAAAACCTTTTAACAAAATCCGAAACAACAAGGGAAGCTGCTGGAAACTTCAGGTGATATATCTTGAGGGTTGTTCACATCATTTCTGCTTTTAGACACAAAAAGCTTAAACTTAATTTAAAAGGCGATCACACAATTTCAATGATTTAATTAAACTAATTATGAATTGTTTTACAATGTAAATTCCCCACTACCACCTTCTACATTCAAATGCTTCTGTGAATTACCTTTACAATCACCTTCAACCTATGTACAGATTTGAATCGCGATGCTAAACTACTGAACATGAAAGTAAAGTGAATAAATCCCATTAAATAACCATCAGACAGGATTTCAAACGTGTGGTTCTACAGCGGATAAAAAGAAAAAGGGATGAGCTGAACACCTCAGCGAGATGAAAGAACGTCTGCTGAAAATGAATGAGTCTGAGGCGAGTGGGACTTGGCACACGGTCGGGCCGACATGCTGGCAAATATTCACACTTCAGTCTTTGACATCAGAGAGAAGAAAACGGGAGATTAGTTTGGCCGCACTTCAGATGAGTCCAGCTTCCTTCCAGCTGTTTCTGAGCCCCCCGAGTCTCTGGCCACTAGAGAGCAGCAGCCGTCCAC